AAGCTACTGTCTATCTCATGGACCTTTTTTCTTCTTTCTTTTTATGGCTATAATAGCAAACGTACAGAAAGTAGCTGAGTTTAGTAACGCTAATTGTTAGAACGTAACATTCACTGTCTTTTATTTTTCCTGAAGAGCAAAACTTACTGCTTTACAGTAATGCCTAATAGTTTTCCTTCTTTTTATCATTAGAAGATACTAAAGTAGCTGAAAAAGTCATACCATTTTGCCATTCAGAATAAATGACTGACACAAACATGTCAGCACATAGCATACAGGGATTTCACAAACAAATAATTCTGAAAGACAATKACAAACTATTTGAATTTCTAAAGCCTGTAATCAAATTAGATTAAAGGAAAGCATCTTATTTGTAAAAAAGTATTAGGTAAGATTTTTTAAAATGGCTTCATCAGTCTAGGAAATGAGTAAAGTTGTATTTCCAGCTGCAATAAAAAGCAGTATAGCTTTTTAAAAGAACAGCTCTAATGAACCGTTCTCATTTGAGAATAGAATTGCAAAGCAGAGAACTCACTTTTTWAAAAAGAGATGTTCATTCATCAACATATTTTTTCCTATAACATATCAAGCTATAACAGGCATCTGATACATCGAAGAAACGAAAGACTAATTTTTAAAAGGGTCGATATTAATACTTAAATACACCAATATAAAAACTTAAATATGTCCAATGTTTACAAATGCAAAAGGTGGATGYTAATTTCCAATCCAATCATGAAATTGCTAATTTCCATAAAACACTTTAGCATACTTTCTAAAACACCTAACATTAGTCCATACATATGATAAAAATATTGTATTTTATGCTCCCTCTCACAAAATATTTCTAAATGGAGTGGCTTGCCAGTAAGATGTGCTTAGCCACATTTACCTCCAACTGGTCCCTGACATTTTTCGAAGTGAAGCCACCTATTTTGTACCYCAAGGACTTCAGGGTCTATGTTTTGAAAACACTATTCTTATTTTTGGCTCTTATTTAGCCTAGTATAGTTCCATAATTCAATTATAAAAATACAGCTAAAACAATAAAACATTGCTTGTGAGAGTACCTACTTCAACTTACACATTAGTGAACTTATTTCTTTCAGTATGTATTCATCATATACATTTAAAGCACTGCAAAATAGTTTATAAATGTGACTTCAAGATTTGAAATTAATATATTGATTTGGTTTGAATTAGTTTTGTTACTCCAAAGAAATGGGTGCAAAGAGGAACGAACAATCCATTTTTTTTCTTCTAAGCAATAACAGAAGGCCTGCAACACAGTGAGGTGCAAAACCTAATTGGAAATCTGAGTAYAGGTCGCCTAAACATACACACACATAAACATACAGAATGTTTATGTCAGAACTAGAGGGAGAGATTTGACTAATTTTTTTCATCAAGTTTGAAAAATACCAAGCAATGGATTAATAGATTTTGTACACTAAAATCAAAGATATTCACAGAGAACAATGAAAAAAAAACTTCCWTAAAGTACGTTGTTGTTGTTGTTGTTATTATTACAGTGACATATGGGAAACTGGCTAATTTATTTACCTGGCCTTGTCCCTTACTAAATTAAGATGGATAAGCTGGAATTCTGAATGCCCCTGATGTGCTTATTGGCATTGAATCAACTTATGCATACTGCAGAATCCCTGTTGAAGTTTATGATGTAACCTAATAAAAATAAGGGAAACTCTAGTACTTTGAGATAGGAAAAGCTGGTTAATTAAGCAGGAAATGAAGTGATTCTTTGGAGATTCCTACTGCAGTTCTGTCTTTTGCACTCAAAATGTGAGGCAGTCTTTAGCAGGTTGGCAGAAGACAAAATATTTTTCCCCTAACTTGGGTGACAACAGTACAGCTCGGATTACAGCCTTCTGGAAAGTGATGGGTGAAAAGATGAGTTTTATTAGGAAAAAAAGAGAACAGTAATTTGTGGTGTCTGAAAAAATGTGAATCACAGGCCAAAGTTAGGCCTGCCTGCCTGTAAGCCTGGTGGCAGGGAGCATCGCCTCCCAGGCTCCATCTTTAGACTCTAAGATCAAAGATGGTGCTGGTTAGACATGCTCTCMAATCCAGATTTGCTAATCGGCCCCCCTGTTTCTAGGCAGAAATGCCGAAGCCTCTGGGGCTGCTGAGCAGAGTTACCTCGCAGCCTGCAGCAATCCACACTCTAATTCCACCAAAGCGCCCCAGCTGCGAGGGGGCACATCAGTCCTTCCACAGCAAGAAAGGAAGAAAGGTGCTTTGAGCTTGAGGCAGAGCCAAGGTGCTGCCCACAGTTTGGATGGAAAGCTGTCAAGCTGCCTGACCATCCAAGCAACAGAGCCAACAGCTTAGAGTGTCTAAGGTGGATATGGGGAAGCTCCAAATCCACAAGGCCTGGGGACTAGGCATGTCCTGCGGATGGTGACCCCCAGGAGGGCAATCAGCAGCTTCAGGCGGGTATGTTCTTTCAATAATACCATGTGACCACAAGATATTTCAAAAAGAAGAAATTTCCAGAGAAATTTCCAGAGAAAGCCTCCATCTTTGGCCAGGCCTCGGCCTAATGTGTGTAGTACAGGCTCTGTACTTGCTCCTGCCTCTGCACTCCTCTGTAGACCTCTGCCAATCCGTACGCACWGCCCCACTCTTCTGCAGGCAGAGCATGCTCTTCACTCCCCTGGACACCACATTGTCTTTCAGACTAAAGTTCATGTTCCTCAGCTGGGACTTCATTCCCCTACTCTTATCTTAAGAGTAATGAAACTTCACAAGGGCCACGTGGCCACCAGGAAGTAACAGTACATYTCCTGTCTCCCTTTCTCCACATGAACTATTATCCACTTCTACTGTCTAAAGAGCCCATAGGAGATTTGAATATTACCATCCTAAAAGGAAGGCGGAAGGTCAGGACAGGGCAGTTGCTGTGATGCACTGCGGATCAGACATCCACAAGCAGAGGGCGGTTTCCTCCACACCCAAAACAAAATCCAGAACTTCATCTTGACTTGAACACAGCTGCTCACTTGCCCACACGCTGCATGCGAAGAAGATACTGTGCTGTATCTTCTCCGTCACTTAGATAATTTCCTCATTACCAGGCAAATGCAAAGTGCAGAGCCAACGCCATGAGCTCCCATGAATTAGAGAAGGACCCACACCAGTATTTTTTTCATACATAATTTCCAAGTTCTTCAGTGAATATGATGCTACGATGTAATGCTAAGGCCATAACATACCAATTTCTGGTAGATAAAATCCATATGATTAACTTCCATTAAAGTCAATGACAGTTACATTCCTGTATCAAGAAGTAGCTACATGTCTATTAAATATCTGGTTTTGCACAACAAATGAAAACACCATGAACTTTACTGAACATGCTGGCAAGATATGGTAGCATTTTCTCTTCCTGCTCTGGATAAAATGTAATACAACCATAAATCAGAAACAGATTTGGAAAATAACTAGCATTGTTTTTTTCTTCTACAAGTCTGAAAATCAATCCTATACATATCGCTTACTAATGGTATTACTTGTATCCAAAACAATAACATCTTTACATACCCTTAATGAAATGAAACACTTTTTAAAAAATGCAAGAACTCATGTCTTTTATTGTAAGTATCAAAATAAATACTTCACTAAGGAATGGAAGAAAAAATAAAGCACATTTAAATAATTTCATTACATTGCGAGATGCCAATTCATCTGTGAGTGGTTTCTTTTTAGATGAAAAGAAATCAAAATATAGGACAGATGTTGGACAAACCACATTTGAGGTCTATCACACACTGGCATTTTTCAAATGATTTTGGCTCATCTATTAAATAAGGTGTATTTTGCTTGATTTTGAGAAGGGAAACATCAGGAAATATTTAAAGGCCAATTGCTGCCAATTAACTTTGATCAGCAAAAGTTGCATTTGAATCTTTCAGATTCTTTTGCCTGTCTGGAATAACACACATTTCTAAAATCCAGCAAAACAACAACTTGATGATTAATGTGTGTTGGCAGCCCCACCACAAGCTTGCTTAACAGTTGGATTTTAAATAAACAGCTGTCTTCATTACGATGGGAAAGAAATCTGACTGTTTTCATGTTTCCTTGCTATTAAAATACGATCAGAAATTGCTTTTTTCCCTGTCAAGGCGGAACGGGCAGGCACGATGGTGACAGTCTCTTTCAGCAGATCAGATAGTTTCACAGCAATCTCATGAGAGGGGCCAAACCAGAGGCTGCGTTGGCTGCAAAAGCCCCTGGCACGAGTCGYCCAGCAGCGACTCACAACGTGCCGCAGGAGAGCGCCAGGAGCAGCGCGGAAACCCGAGCACGTAGCAAATTGTGCCTGCCACCGGGCACGGCAGAAGACCCAGGGTAATAAGGCACGGAGACTGGTGGCATATGCAACATTCATGGTTTCCCTGGGGTTTAAGGTAATACTTGCCCACAGCAGGACATGAGTGAGAAATCTGTACCCGGCGATTAACTGTTTATAGAAGCTGAATTTTAATATTTAATGGCCTGGACAGACTACTGACTTCTAATGGTTATAGATGGGCTTGGTGTATCCACTTCTACAAGGTGTCTACTGTGGTCATAACACAAAGACCTGCGGGGTCTTTGTGTTACCATTCAAACCACTACCATTGTGCTACTGTTCAAACCACTGTAACCTTCAGATGCCAACGTGGACATTTAGTGTAGCTATTACTATATATTTTATATAATGTGTGTGTGTGTGTGTATGTATATATACATGTATATATATACATATACATACACACACACACACACATTATATATATATATATATATATAATGTGTGTGTGTGTGTATATAAAAAACTATATATTTTAATGACTAAATCATATAGGGCTGTTTTCTAGCATTTCCATGGTAAAACAACAGGACCAAAATATGATTTTCAAACCATCTATTAACTCCCAGGTAGAGAGAAATGTCAAATAACCGTTATGTGTTTTAAGATAATAAACACTTACTTCTAAATCATTAAAGAATAGATGCGTGTCTGCCAAATTGAAAATCATCTCTTCCATTCGGAGTCCAAGGGAAACTGAAGTGGGTGGATCCTTAGGGAAGAAATTAAAAGAGTACACTGTCACTGCCATTCCGAACATATACATTTAATATATTAAAAGTAACATCTAAACCACTTATCAGTAACACTTTAAAATCTGACTTTAGGTATAGAATTTACGCGTATTCTGTATGTGAATACATGAATCCATGTGTATTTGCATGTAGGTTTAGCAATGCAAAGAGGGATGGGTTCCATCAGCTGCAAATTTGATTCACTTTTTTGTAAAAACTTCTCCAGATTTTACAACTGTTTATCCATTTTATGGTCAGCCAGGGGCATGATAATGTTATCACTACTCAAAGCAAACTCCCACTGGCTCCAGTGAAAGTTGGAGTACCTATCAGCTCGAAAGAAAACCTCCACGGATATTTTATTTGCAAATCACAATTATATTTAAAACCATTCCTTGATTCTCCACAACACCATGCTTTAATTACTCCTTCAGCTTGGCCCACCCATGCAGAGTGAACAAATCTATTGTTTGTTATTAATACGTAACACACTTTAGCTTCTCTACAGAAATTACCATAACAACTTATTCCTTACCGAGCTAATAAACTCAAAAAGCATGTTCAGCATTGTGGTTACCAAATGCATTACAGATGTTTGTCTTGTTTTGATTTTTTTTGTGTGTTTTATGTATTTTCAATCTGAAAAATTGAAAAGAAAAGCCTAATATGTATATTTGATATATAACAATTTCTCATTTATAATGCCAAGTACATCCAAGGGCACAGAAGCATAAGCTTGAAAGAACATATTATATTATCTCATGCTGCTCTCTACTAAGCGTGTTTGTTTGGGATTATAGTTTAAATAGAACTGCAGCAGTGACAACCCATACTTTCCTTAAAATAAGTTCATATTCTAAAACCGATGACAACTACAAGTTAAAAATAAAAGATGAAAGTTTCTCTTTCCACCTTTCAATTAAACTAATAGGTGTTTCAGCATGATCTCTGAACTTTCAGACCTGTTTCTATAACTACTGGTTTAAAGGCAAATCATAACAGTAGCAAACAGCTGGAAAAGTGCGGGGATTTGTCAGCCTGTTTGTCTTCGGGAAATGCCCAGAACAAAATAAATCTAACCAGAAACAAGGGTTTTGGAAGGAAGCATTTAGAAACAGAGCTATGAGGAACAGGAAAAAAAAATGCTACTCTTGAACTGACACGTTAGGGCAAAATGCATTTTCTAGTAGCCAAAAATAGCCCTTAAATCGGACAGAAAAAAAGCAGGTCATACTATTTTGTTGATAATAAGGATTCTGCCCTTAAAAATAAGTCTTCTATTTAAATTGGTASCAGGGAAAAAGAGTATCTAGATTCCTGATGCAAATGGAAAGATTTTAAAATATGAACAAAAGTATTCTGCCATTTTAATACTGTTATGATTGCAGACCTATGTCTTTCTTTTTTTATTTATTTTTATTTTTTAGGCAAGTCAGGTGAAAAGTAGGTGACATTTTTGCAGCAGAGACTTGAGGCTACTTTTCCCTTTCACATTCCTGTATATCGTGTTTTGCCCAGTTACAATCTCATCATTAGCCATTTTTTTATACTGCAGATTTAAATTTGCCTTTGTCCTGAGCACTAAGAGAAGTGTCTCCRAACAGAAGTGTCTCTCAATTCTCATTTTTAAAAGCAGTTCGATGCCGTTTGAGGTGTCCAACTTGCAAATKAAGATCACTAGCTACACTGCGATTATCAGCTGCTTCCATGACATTATAGAGCTAATCCTTTCTTGATTTTTCATTTGTGAATATGAATATTATTTGGAAAAGCAGGAGAGATGGCAGACAGAACATGATCTTTACTATGAACTTGTGTGGTTAATTTTAAACAAATGCCTGTAAATATATTTTAAGTTTCAGGTTATGCAAGTTTTAAACTAAACAGTTTACTAAACTTGTTTTTGTCACACATTTGGGTTTGAGAACATGGCTTTTCGTAATGCTTTTTGTGAACCATCTTAGTCATCTTTAATGGCAGACAAAACAAAACAAGGATTTCACCAAACTAACAACAGAAGAATGCCATCAGCTGGGTTAATTTAATTAGAAGAAAAACAAATAAGAAAATCATTGGCACCTACTGAAAATGTCAGATTAAATGCCATAAAATCTAAGAGAAGAAAAAAACAGGTTTGTCTTCAAAGAAACCTTAATGTCTTCATTAGATGAAATCTCCCTAAACAGAGAGTTGCACTTAGCATGAAAATTGTGTTAAAATGAAGCTCTGTATACCCAACTATTTAACAGAAGCAAAAGCCTTATCTACATTAGGATTTTAACTATGTATATAGTTATAATCTTGCAGCTCTGCTAAAAGGCCCAGCCTACGATTCAAGTGGCCTAAGGCACTGCAGTCGATTAAATGCTGATGTCAGTCACTACAGTGGTGGCTGAAAACTTTAATGAAGACAAGGCTAGAATACGGTTAAAAAAAAAAAAAAAAAAAAAAAAAGAAAAGCCCATGCCAAGCCTTTTTTTGCAATTTTAAGCCACTAATTGCTGCCTAATTACTGCGAGGTGCCACACAAAGCGCAGGCGAGCCAAGCAATCTGTTCCTGCTTATTGGGATTTGCAGGTTCAGCCCGAGCGTCTTTTCAGGTAGGGGCAAAATCAGGTGCCAGTCTCGGAGGGAGGTGCAGGTTGACTAAAGAAAAGAAATACCAGTGTCAAACCGCTTAAGCGGGCCTCTTGTTTGGAATACTGCTCTTGGAGCCAAAACATTGTCTGTATGTCATTTCTGAAGTCTACCCGCTTGATTTCATTGTTTTGTGGAGAAACAAGAAGCTGAAAAACAGGAAAGTTCACTTTGGGTACACGGCTTATTTTCCACTTAAGCCTACCGTTCACAAACGAAGGGTTAAGTGAAACCAGGCTTTGTTTTCCTCAGTCGTGAATATATAATAAACCATGGTAAAGCGGCTTATAATCTAAAGGAAAGTTCCTTTAAAGCAGATGAATATAAATGTTTGCATGGAGAGTGGAAATTTGAAAGACCACAGTATTCTAGTGCCAATACTGAGACATATTTCCACCTGCCTCAAGATATCGACACCAAATGAGGGACTCCACTTTTTCCAATTTTCTAAACATTATGAAGAGGCATCTGGCTCAAAATATAAGTTTTCATAAGTGTCTAAAGCACTAATGCCACTAAAGAAACTGATAACTTGAAATATTTGATCACCAGATCTCTCTCTGTACATACTTACTTTTTTCCCCTCAATGCTAATGGAAAAGTTGATCCCATTTTTTTTTCCTGGAAGTACAACATCATATTTCTACAGTACATTCATACATTTCCATGAAATTCCCAAAATTCAAATCAGTTGCAAATAAAAATGTGGCAGTTTATACTATAACCCGGCAAAAACTGCAAAACAAGGGTGTTATTTTGTACAAATGATGAAGAATGACAAAATGAGGAAGGGAAAAGCACAATAGCAGCAAAAGGAAAGTAGGTGAGAAAAGCAGAGCAGAAAAGGAAGAACATAGAGAACAATGGCAAAAATGACAAGTTAGGAGGAATGAGGGAGAGAATAAGGAAAAGAGAATCTTCAGCAAGAAGGTTGCTCATCATTCATAGTCATTCACCAAGAAAACTCTTTCACGCATTATGAAAAGAGTCAAATACCATGTTGCCAAATCCCCACTATTTAATCAGGATATTTTTGTTTGTTTKAACATTCAGCTTTTGTATTTTAATGGCTATATGAGCAGGCCTAGTTTTATTTTTAAATGTATTTCTAGGCCTTGCCATAGCAGAGAAACACATGCCAATGTGATGTTAGGCACATACAGATAGGCAAAAACAACCAAAATATCCCTGAACAATTTTTGCTCTTTTTCCAGACTAACTTATGATTTAGGACTTCCGATTTTAAAGGACAGAAGGTAGTATGAAACTGACCTTAAAAAAGATGTATAACTCTTGATTTTGCAAATCAAGCCTAAAATTCCTATATGGCAGATTTTAGCATGCTTCCTTAGCAACATCTGACACTATCTTCCCTTTATCTTCTGATGACTATGGATATTGCTAATTGTTGTCTGAAGGTATCAATAAGGCCAGAGAAACGGCAATATGAATTAAGCTTGAGCAAGGATGGCACATTTTTCTGATCAGGGCTGTAAGCCAAGGATGAGTATGTTTCTAYCCCATTCTGAAATGAATATTTATTCTCAGTGCTTCATACATTCATTCCCAATATAAAAGCCTGTCCTCTGCAGCATGAAGCATCYTTTCTCCTAGCAGAGGGGATGTGCAGCATCCCCGTTTTATGTACATTCATTTGTAGTGAAGCAATGAAACTCCACTGTGCAAAAACAGCAGTATTCAGGCCCACACTGCTCAAGGAGAGGCAGCTGGGCTAAAGCTAAACCTCAACCCCAGAGCCTCAACAACGATGGGACTGCAAGCARGAGACATTCACCTCCTGTCAACGCACCTATTTATATCTCTGTGTGCCTGAATACCAGCTACTGTCTTCAGCCTCGCGGATCCAGCAAAAAAGGTGTTTATGTTCAGGTCCTAATTAATGAAATCACTATTGGGAATGAGTAACAAATGGAAAGAAAATGCTGGCACAAGTACTTCTCARCAAGGAGGAGCTGCCCGTTTCCAGTGCTGCTCTGCTGCTCAGAAGCAAGCRGGGAGTTTCTGCTGGCATTGAGCGCCTCATCTGGACTGGCACTGAGCTCCTCATACTGGCCTCAATTCAAATATCAGATTTTTGGGTGATCTACAAAAGCTCTTCTTGGAAGGAGTTTGTCATATATTTAAAAAAAAAAAGAGTCTAGCTTATACCTCATAGCATGTGAATTTGGAAGTGGTAGAACTCAGATTTTGGTGCAAACTGAGACGTTAGCCTGCAGAAATGCTGCCCCCAAAAAGTAAGATTGAAGCTCACTGGGATATTCCAATCAAAAACTGCTTTTATTCATCTAAAATTGAAAATAGAAAATCCCAATCCACACACATTTTCAAAAATTCATTTTTTTAAGGACTGTGCATAACAGAAAGATTCAACACATAAGCAGGCTTTTAAAAATATCAATATAAGGAGATCAAAAAAAGAAAAAGAGAAAAATCATCTCAGAAATCATCAWCAGAGAGAACTCATCTGTTTATGTCTAGGGCTACTTTGCCTTTTGAATACATAGTATTCCAATACCAATCACCAGAACTAAAATGTATTTTCAGAGTTTAACTCATTCCTGAAAGTTCTTCATTTTTTTGAGAGGAGCCAAGTCTTTGCAGATTTTGGTGATATCAACGGTTTTACGGGCACTCTACACCTACCTACAACCAAAACCTCAAGTCTTACTCCTAGTGCTACTTAGTTATTATGTACAGCAGCTGAGYAAATGCAAAAAAATGGGCATGCAAAAAGATCTTCCAAGATCTTCTTCCATCTTGGAACATAAGTACTCGTATGCCTCTGGAAAACCAGCTACTATTTTGGTCTTCCCATAAACAGCAAATATTACTGCAAATTAACATCAGTTTCTTGACACTTACCCTTCCATATCTGTTAGCATAGGACCCTGTAAGCAAGGAATGGAAAATGATGATTGTCTCATCCAAATCCCAAATGAATACTCTCTGTAAAAAGAGAACCAAATCAAAGTGTTCCTCTGTGAACTGGGACGTAAAATGGAAAGTTTAGACTTGAATCAGTAAGTGCACAAATAAGAAAATTGTATTGAAATGGTTATATATTAAAATCATAGTTTTCTTGCCATTTATTTTCATAACTAGCAAGATTTTTTTTCCAGAATAGGGTAATACAATCTTTTAGATTTTTATTACAATTTCTATTACATCAAATTATTCTATTAGAACTACAGTTATTGTCAAATATACACAGAAAATGATATTTACAATATATTATTTTAAAGCCAGATGTGAGATGAAATTGAAATAAATGAAGAAAAGCTTTTTAAAATTATATCCTCTGAGTCTGAATTTTTGCTTTTCCGCAAAACTTCGAAAGTTCATATAAGTATTCTAGAAAAATTATCTCTAAAAACAGAATAAACATTTCCTGCTAAACACTTAAATCCTCTTAACCTGGGCTCTTTTTGAATGAGTTTTAGGCACCTGAAGGATGCAAACGTTGAACTTATGGCAATGGTAAATAATTCTTTTGCCTATACCCGTCTGGAAAATATGCATGTTTCAAATTTGTCCTCTGACCACACACAAAATTATATTTTAATGAAAAATAAAACGTTCAAATACAAGTATTTAAAATTTTGGTGGGATTGTATTTCCCAAGATGACTAATGGGCTAAGCCTTTGGAAAGGAAAAGCAAGGCAGTGTGGACCTTCATAGCTGTGGTGTGTCATTGGAGATGTGTTCTCGACATAAAGTACGGTCCACACAGTGGAATGGGAACGGAGCATGAGTGAACAAAACCACTCTTGTGCTCTACGTGTCTCCTGTCCTAAAGGAAACCTTCCTTAGACYTGGGAAAAGTTCGCATTTTTACTAGAAGGAAAAAAAAATCCYGTTGTTTTTCACAGAAATTAGGTCCTCTTTATGAGAAAGGCTGCTTAGGTGAAAAATTCAATCTTTCAGGAAAAAAAAAAAAAGGAAAATAAAGCTCAAGTTAGCTCTAATGCCACTAGATTTTTGATCTGTATATATAATATCTCTCTGCAAAATACTGGTAATACCAGCAGARTCTGTAACAAACGCAAGACATCTCATATGATATACCTCTAGGTCAGAATCAGGTGGTGGTGAAGGGTTATTGTTTCTTCTGCCACGTCCACGTGATTTCCCATCTGAGCTACGCCGCAATCTATCTGAATCCGAATCCTTAATGGGTGTTGATGGGCTGTGGATTGTACTGTACTCTGCTGTAGTAAAGAAATAACATTTTTTACCTTTCAGTGTAAGCTTCAAAGTGTTCAGCTTGCTTTTGGGATGCGACATTAAAGACAGGATGTTCATTAAAAAGTCCTAACTGAAAGAAATCCTTAAATTGCTAACTGGCGATACAAATAAATAAATAAATAAATAAATAAATAAATAAATAAATAAATAAATTTTTCAAGCAGGAAATAAGAAAGTGAATCTGTAACATCCTCATTCCACCAAATCATGGAAAAGATCCTATCTATATGCACTCTTTTTACATCCCAAATGGACAATTTGAATGGATATTAATCAGAATACTTCTAAAGCTACTTTGATGTCAGTGATTGGTAGGAAAAATAAAATTCAGGTACAAATAAAAAATATAGGAAGTTGAATATTAAACCTCTGAAAGCTTTTCTAAGTTGCTTGGTCACAGATGGTTCATTTTTAATGACTTTAACCAGCTGAATAGTGATTAGGAACCTTTCTGAACAAGGCACCAAGTAGAGGTTTTATTTTTGTAGGATAGGTTCAGTTAAGAAGCTTACATCTTGTTTCTATAACTGATGCATAAACRTTTTTCAAAGGCCTACTCAACATACCAAGCTAAAGTACAGTTTTTTCTAAGCAACAGMCTACACTGTTATGCTTTGGCAAAATGTATTTACAAAAATATGTACTGTTGATTTCCATAAGCAAGAACGATATTAGTCTGRAAACACTTAGTCAAAATACATTTTTCTGCTTTCAAACATATACACTCAGTAACAGGGAAGTGACTGAACATTAGCAAAGGGGATATCCTTCCTAACTCATTTAGGACATGTGCTGTGCCCCTTAAAAAAGTGACAACACATCTTTTGAAGCTCCATTCATGASTTTATTTCACACTCTTGAGGGTCCAGAGGAAAGACTATCTTTTCTTTCCATGGCTATTATTAAACTATTTTTCTAAAAAAAAAAATCTGGTTAATGAAAAGATTCCAGTAAATGTTGCTATTTGTATCGATACCAATTTACTTTTGAAGGCAGTATAGGCCAYGGTGCGGCATTTTGGGCAGACAGGTCTATATCTCACAGAAGTTTCAGTGTCTTCTACAAAGTGGGCTGCTGRGGTCAGAGGGTGGATTATGGGTGACAGCAGGAGGCTCTGGACATCTGTGCAACACCACTTATTCAGAACAACTTGAAATGATAACAACTGCTTGTACTGAATTGAAAAAAAAACTTTAAAGTCCCATGTTTGGTCTTCAAACCTACACTTAGGTAGAACCATTATTTTCTTCCCTAAATATCTCAGATTACATTAAACAAAGCAGAATAAGTAGTTATTACAGAACACGATGTAAATCAAAGACTCTTYGGAAGAGACTTGGCCTGTACCTAAAAGAACGATTTGGGGCATGTGCTGAACAAAAATACTTTCTCTGTCCTCTTCCATACAACTAAAGACAGAAGAGATTTAAACAAAAACCTCATACGCATTGTAAGACGGCTAATTTAAACTTTAGTTTTTTTTAAACTTAAAGAACAGGGACATTCTGACACCATAGTGAGGTAAATTTTCCTTGATAATACACCTTTATTTAAATTAATATTTGAAATGATTGATTTTCATCTGCTGTACGGAAGTGTAAATAAGAAATCTTATTTCAATGAGTTCACAGTTTTGAAACCTTTTATTCTTAAATGAGTTTCTTATCTGCTATATGTTAACTTTATTATTAAGGGCTTAAATAAAGAATGTAATACACAAATGTAGATGTAAGGTATAACTTCATAAAATCAACAGACAAAAATTTGCCAATAGGTATTTTGGCCAAACATTTTCTAAATAAGTGCTCTAAAATTAAGGCATAATGGACAACTACATTTCCTACCGACTAACTGAAACGAGAGATGCTCCTTGTTTCTGGCAATATCTTCATAATATTCATATTCATAGCCACATAATTTTAAAGCTCAGACTTTGAAAGTCACAGATATGAGAAACCCAAATTCTTAAGTGCTGAATTTGGGTTTAGCAATAATACCAAATGAAACAGGGAATGGATAGCATGGAAGAAAAGTATAAATAAAACTTCAGTACAAATAAAACCAAGTAAACGTAAGAGAGCGCGTATACACAACAGAGTGTGGTGAGAGCAGAGAAAAAGGTCTATTTAGAAGATGCATGCAGCTTTCCACCTCCACAAGGAACTTCATTTCAGTATGCTGCACTCCGATTTTCCAATACTTGGCTGTAATTTTGGAGTTTCTTCCCTCTTCCCTTTCCAAGCACAAGTGTGACCAGCAACTCGACGCCACCGCTCACAGTGTTTCCTGGAGCCCCCAGCTTGGCTGAGTCCCCGAGGTCCTCAGCCCACCTTGCTGGGCCAGTTGCAGCATTCCCAGTAAAGATTTGGCTGAGCTGCTCTTGCAGCTCTCCCCAGGCAATCTATTCTGCTGCTTTAATAGTCATACCATTAGAAAAGATTGGGAATCTCAGCTTTCCTTGCAGCCATTTAAGTTCAATCAATAAAAGCAGAGAAGAAATGATTCCCCTCACGTATCTGTACACACCTGAAGACTGCTAGCACATCCCTTTGGCTCTTTGTTAGGTTAAGTGACCCCAATCTTTCTTTATCAATCCCTAAATCAATTTTTAGGCTCACATGATTGTTTTCTACAGTCTCTGCCAACCGGACACCCCGCAGTCTAAAGCAAACTGTTGAATACAGCCAAGTTTCTCTTTATGTGCTTTGCAGGCTCCCCTCTGGGCACTGCTTAGTAGGGGGTATTTGTCCTGTCTGCAGCATTTTCAGTAGATATTTAGGTAAGGATCTCTAGGTCATCTTCTGAAGAAGTGTCACCTCACTGTTCCCAAAGATTGAATGCTGTCCAGAGCATTTCAAATTTAAGCAATAAAATACCAAATATAGCCATTTTATCTATAGAACTGCTGGGACAGAGGGCTTTCAGTCTTCCAAAACAGTAATAGAAACCTATACAGGCATCTACCACGTTTTCTGAGGATATATGGAGACGGCCAAATATTGCATATGAACTGGATACACTGATAACTGGAGCTTTTGAGCGTGCTTTGGAAAGAGCTACAGCCCTCAGTCACACATGGCATTAACCAATAGGTGAAAATGTGATATAGCATATAAGCAACTTACTCTATGTATGTAAAGAGAAACCACAGCATATATTCTTTAGATTAAAGCTGCTTGACAGCCAAGCCAGTTGCTACCAGCTTCCTGTAAGGAAACCCAATTAAAGAAGTGAGTATCGAGCTGTGAGCTTGGACAAGCCCAAGCCTTGTCCCTGACATAACCTGGAGCAAGAAAAAACCCAGCGGGTGAGAGAACTTGGTGTGTCACTAATATTTGGAGTACCGAGAGAGGTCTGTTGGGAAAGGTAGGGTCTGGAAGGAGCTGCCAACATTCCCCATCCCACATTTGTGCAGTTCATCATTCCTGCCTAAATGTATACCTCACAGCTGCTCCTGTTCAGATCACATCTCCATTTTTTGAGTTCTCACTCTGTCCCCRAAGAACTCGCAGCCCCCTGCAGCATGGTGTCCTCTCCATATTTAATAGGCAAACACATTCTGTTCCGTCATCTAAATGATTAATGAAAACGTGGGCTGGTAGCRGGCCCGAGGCAGCCCCTGAGGAATGTCACTGTGGCCACCCTCCTACTTTACCAGTGAGCTGTTACTGGCTGCTCTCCGAACATGGCTTTTTTTGGTTGTTTTTGTCACTATTCTAGACCACTTTACCCTGGTTTGTTTAAAGGATTGCCAAGTAAAAAAAGTATAATTGTTAGAGCAACAAAGGCCTTGCTGAGGTCAGGCTATATAGACATCCACATGTTAGTGGTGTACTCGTTGTTCTGCATGTGCAGGGCCTGTTATACAAGGAAGTTAAACGGCTCTACTTTCCCAGTACCAGGCATGGTGTAAAATTAGCTAAGGGAAAGTATTATCTTTCTAAAGCACTGAATTTACTTATATTCTGTTCTTGAGCTCCACAAAAACAGGGAAGTGCAAGGGAAAACCCAACCTTCTACAAAACCACGAGCTGAAAGGCGGGACAGGCTCAGCTCTTTGCCATCTGCTCTGATATGAAAAGCATCACAGCACCAAAAGAAGCTTGAAAAAGCCAAGTCAAGAGAAAAAAAAAAAAAAAAAGGATTTCTCAACAACAAATGCAGGGCTCACAGTTGGTGACACAGGTTCAAGAGCAGCATGGAGACTCCCTGCCTTCGGGGTTGCGATGGCCACATCTGCAGTAGCAGATAGTGTGGCTGGTCTGTAGGACAAAACAAGTAGAGCCAACAACTGCCAGGTCATGTGTTTCTGGGAGATCCTTTCAGCCCAGATCTAGTCTGTTGGCCTCAACACCTCTGTTAGAGCTGCAGGAATTGGCTCCAGGGGGACATCATCCAGGTGAGGTCCTCCTGAAAGGCCCCCGGGCAACGCGTTCTGGGGCGCTCCACTAAGCCGGAGCCCAGGCAGCAGGACAGACTCCTGGTCCAAATTAAAATGCTCATGTAGGCACACCCTAAACAGACAAACAACATCAGCTTAGGAAATCTCCCGAGAGGAAAACATCCGGAAGCTGGAAAATGGCTTAGGGCAAGGCTTGTGTAAGCTCTGCCTGTCCTCACTGCTCCCTGGATGCTTGCTTAGGGCGGCCAGGACAGGGGCCGGGTCACTGCTGCTCTGGACCACTACAGTCATTCCTGTGCCTACCTGCCTTTGCAAAACTATATTAATACTGCAGCAAAAAGTATTCTTCTACATCTTTTAATAGATACCTCTGATTTTAGATCTCTGTAGCGTGGTACCTCTCCACACTCTGCCTTGCCTTCGGCTTTCTCACACCAAAYGTTAGAGCTTGTTCCAGCCTCACATACTCCTCCCGTACCTTGGGAAAATCTGATCACTCTCTTGGCTGCTGGCTAGTAAGAAAAACAAATTTAATCCAAATTCTATTAATGTCCTTTC